ATAAATATATATATATACAAACTGTACTCTTCTTGCCTTTGTACATTTGGGCAAGGAGAGAGAATAAATCTTTTTAAGAGACAATCACAAACATGTGAGGGTGGCTTTTTCTTCCTGCTCCCCCAAATTCAGGTTCTTTGTCCCCAAAAGCTGTGGCCAGCGATTTTTTTTCAGGGGGAAGTGGGGTGGGTGGAATCTCCATCCTTGGGGCATCTCGGAGGGCTGGAGCAGGCACGCTGCTCCTGATGCCAAGCTCATCGGCCCATGGCCACCAAGGGATGTCAGCTGTGACAATTTGGGTCAGAACATCCTGAACCCCTGGGTACCGCCACAGGGTCCTGCCCTGCACCAGGCAAGCCCATCTCCATCAGGCCAGGGAGCCTCCGTTGCAGGAGGCAGCCGGAGGAACTGGCATGGCACAGGGCAGAGCTTGGCTCCTCCAGCTTTGCAATGGAGGCAGCACCCAGAGAAAGCAGAAGCACCTTAGATTTTTCACTTTAAAAAAAAAAAAGTATTTCTGAAGACACTGAGTGATGTGAGACCTCTATATTTGACCACACTTGCTTGAGCCACAGGGCATGAGAGCATTTGGTACCCCTCAGAGAAGCACATGCACTGGCACAGCCTCATAACTGCAGATTGGTACCAAGCTCCCATGATGAGAACGTTGCACTTTACCAGTGAGGAAGGAGCAGAGTGGTTCCCACCCCATCACATCAGGGAGGGGCCAGCAGAGGAGCACCCTGGGGTGGCAGAAACACCCCGGGAGGCACCTGCCAGCCCAAGGAAGGAGTGGGGGCAGCTCCAGCTATGAGAAGGGATAAAACGTGGCAGTTCAAGAGCCAGAACTAGAAATCAGCATTGTTTCAGCACAAGGTCTCCTCTGTCTCTGCACAGGAGGGGCAATGCCTGTTGCAGAGCTGCTACCAGCATGAGAGGGGCCGATGGTCCCACAGGAAAAGCTGGGGCAGAGATGTTCCCCTCAGCACAACCTCTGATCAGACACCAGACTTGGGATTTAATGCCCCGCTGAGAGGGAGTAGAGCCATCAGCCCTTTCATTTCATTGGAGGGGAAGGAGGGAAAAAGAGACACAAATTTTAAGATGATTTATTCACACAAACTCTTATCCCAGCCCCACTTCTCTCCCCCAAAACAGAAAACACTGACCATGACGTTTATGGAATGGCTCGGCTTCAGCTTTTAACAAAACCCTCCACAGCAGGGCGAGAGCACAGCAAAGCACACAAGGACAATTCCACCCACGAGCAGGCAGGCCGGGAAGAGCTGGGAGCGTGCCCATGAACACACCCTCCTCCTGCGGCCTTTCAAAGCCAGCCAGGTTACATCCGCACCACACCGAGACAAGAGCACAACCTCATCCTCCAGTGTTAGAAGGGGCAGGGTTGAAACACAAGCTACTGCTGGCAACACAGCCCCATCCTGGATGGGGAGAGCATCCCACCGCAGCGTCCACGCCTACCCCACACGCAACCCCCTTTGGTTTGGATACAGCCTTTAGCTCAGCCTCTCAAGTCTTGAGATCATCTCTTTGGAAAGGTGAGGAGGAAGAACAGAGGTGACAGCCCCGGGCCTGCTCCTTACCCATCCTCAGGTGGAGGAAAAAGCTGTAGAGCATTTTTTTTTTTTTTTTTGGCGCTTTGGAGCATCACAACCATCACACCGCAGGCAGGTAAGGAAATGTTCCCCCAGAGCAGGGGTACTGCTCCGAACACTCATTTGACCCTCCGAAAGCATCGCAGGAAGCCCACCTGAGGCTCTGTTCCTTTCAAATAAGCAGCCCCAGCTGTGTGAAGTTCATCTGAATGCCCCTTTTATTGAACGCTGTGATAGTGCAGTGGTAACATTGAACAGAGTTAAGACTGCTTAAAACAAAAGCTGGAAGAGCAAGAATTTTGAAAAAAAAAAAAAAGGTTAGACCAGTTAAAACAGCCTCGGTCGCCCCAAAGCACAGATGCGCGGGGGTTTTAACGTAGTGTTAAAGGTTAACTCGAGCATCTCTCCTCCACGCGCCTACCACCCAAAAACATGCCTTCTACTTAAGAGTCTGAGTGAAAAATAAAAAGGTCGTCTGTCAGATGAGCGCACATCGGGTGACGGGGGAAGGACCAACACAGGTTTAGAGAAGCCAAGGAGTTGATACTGCATCTACCGCTGTGCTCCCCACGCCGGGCCTGGGCCCCCCGCGCCCCTAGGCTAACACACCACACAGCTGCATGTAAAGAGCTCCTATGCCAGTTCATAAACATCTTCCATTTACTATTTGGTGATTACATGTGTGTATATATAGTTCTCTAGGCAACACATTTCAATGAGATAGTCAACTCTGAGGATACACAGGCCAATCTAACAATGAGAAATGCAGTTTCAGTCCAACAGAAGCTTGTTTTCCCTTTCCTCAAGAAAGGAGATGTAACCCTCTCTCCCCTCGATAGCATTTTCAGGTCACACCGGAGTCCCCTGCCGCAGCTATTCTTCATCAGAGGAAGAGTTCTGATCCAGGGGGTACACCATGAACATCACGTCTGGCCGTGACGGGACAGAGGGGTGGCCAGGCCTCACGATTTCAAAACCCAAGAAGCTGAACGTCTTCAGGAGTGGAGCTACCAAAGAAAAGGAAACATGTTACCACCAGAAATAATCCTCATTACCTGCCTCACATGAGAAGCCACAAATATCAAAGTGCATGGAACACCCTCTGCGAGCGCATCCAGAGCTTCCTGCACAGAAAACACCAAGATTTTAACATCACAGCCCTCTCGAGGAGATTTTGTCTCTGCCTGCATTCGTCAAAGCTGCTCCTAAGCGTGAAGGGGATTTTAGTTGTGCGGCAGAGCAGGTTTGTCCGTGTTTATGTCACTTCTCTGTGACCCCAGAGTTACCCTGGTGCAGCATCTCATCTCTACAGCATCCTCCAATGATCAACTTCAAGTGCTGAAGGCTCATGCGGAGGAGTCCTGTGTATTTTCAAGACAACACTGAATTTCAACTGCATAGACAAGGACCCAGGATCTGGGGCGCTCCAGAACTCATACAAATAAGCCAGGTCCAAGAGCATCACACAGCCTGGTTTTAAAAACAAAACGCAGCATCAGATGTCTCCTGTAACCAGCCACTGCAGAGGTCACCTACGCAGCCTGCGGTGTGGTGGCATTACAGCAAGAACTTAATCTGAAAATTATTCTTGGCGTCATAACACAGAATGACATCTTCCTGGGCTCAGCGCAGCTTAGCTCTAACAACGCACTTCGTTTCAGAGAAGCCAGCGCGGCTTGTGAAGTGGCAGAGTAAAATTAGAATTAAGGTTTGAATTACTCCTGCCACAGCAATTGCTTGGTTACTAACCTGTGTCTTGTAAGATTTAAAGTGACACATCCATAGCTTGGTACCTCAGCGCAAATCTCCTCAAACTTCCGTGCTGTAATCACTCATCCAACACATCTATCTTTAGATCCTAATGCTGCCCCCTTAAGCCATAAGCATCTATAGCCAGGGTGAGGATTACCTGTAGGTCTAGGAAGGGCAAAAGTGCCAGCAGATCTTTAAAAAGCAGATGAACGTCAGGGCAACAAGCTATAAGAGTTCATTTCCCACATAATAACCTCTCCCCGGTTTCTCCTTCCAAATCACAGGAGCCTGGTGCCAAATGGAGACCGTCACTCCTTACCAAAGAAGAAGTATGGACCAATTCCTGGACAAAAAAAGCCCCCAAGTTGCTCAGGAGCAGCTTTCCACATGAGAGTAGTAGTAGTAATAATTTAAGTGCAGGGCAGTAAAACATACCTGCTGGAGAAACCAAAATACCCCCTTCTCCCTTAGTCTCAAGAAAGGGCTTGTTTTCTGCACGAGAAGCTATTTCTACTTTTTCAGAACAACATGAAAATTATGCACGTAACATTTACTGCAACGGGAAGCATCCCGTGGAGCCTTGCCTTGGGATTACCAGATTTTTGTACAGCTTCAGCTGCACCGTTTTAGATCTAGGGAGCAAATCTGACAGCGGGGGTGAGTTCTCACCTCTGTCTTCTCTGCTTTTTCTGAAGCAAATAAAGACATAGTTTACTTTCATTTTTTCTTCAGCAAATTCCAACAGTGCTGATAACCTGCCAAGGAGGAGGAAGACAAAAGAACATCAGCTATAGGAAGTTCTGTCCTGAGGAAGCCTCTGAGCATTATCAACTGTTTGGATGTTTTCAGGCAGAAAAATTGTTTACAGACCCCTTCCAGCGAACAATGGGTGCTGAAACAATGGGCTTCCTGCTTAGTTATCCAGCCCTGCAGAACCAAGAGCTATCGTCACACCAAGTCACCCAAGTCCCTGTCCTTGGCATCTGTGCGCCAGCACGCAGGAGCACCCATCCCCACCAGCGATTTTGAATATTGCAGCTAATCCTGAGCCAGGCTGGCAACATACACAAGGGGATCTGCACGTTTTGTGCTTTTGGGGAAGGAAAAAAAACCCCTAAAAACAGGGAAAAGAGCTCATGCCAGGTAGAAGAGAAGAGAAAACCGTCACTGAAGGAGCACATGCACAGGCAAAGCTGTTTCCTGAACACATCAGCTGGATGGCAGAGCTGATGCACCCGGAATCCACGCTTCCCACCTTTCCAGCTAAATTATTTCTGCTGCCTCTTGATGGAAGCGGCGCTGCATTAACCCCTCTCTGAGCCCTGGGGATCATCACCGTCACCACTGGCCTTGTAACCATTTACAATGCGGGCTGCTAGAGCGGCGACAAACAGGGCTTCAATCGACATTTAATTAAACAGCAGTCGGCGAGACTGGAGCGCAGCAAGGGAGATTACATTTGCAAGGGTTTTGTTAATATGGTAATGAACTATTTTAATTATAGCCTCTACTAGGCTGCTTTACCTAGCTAAAAATAACCTGACAAAATTGTGCTTTAAGTCACGATGACACAGGCGGGTAAATACCCTCCCAGAAGAACCCGCTCCCAAGAGAGCGGGCACTTGGGCAGCCAATGGATTTATGAGCTGACTGAAGGAATTACACAAACCTTTATCTGGATTTCGGAGTCAAATGAGACAAGCGTGAGACAGCAAGAATACTGGCACTTACTGAAGGTGCCCAATGACGGTTAGTTTTTTGTTTTTTTTTTTTTCTCTCTCTTAATTAGCTTGTGTTATTTACAGATGAAGCCTACTTGGAGATTTAGGACTTCAGAGAGCTCTGCAGAGGAATCCAGTAAAGCCACATGTACGCTACAGCGCTCCCCGCCAGCGGAGATCTCTGGCACAGCACTTGGCAGGAAGTAGCTGCTCTGGAAGCTGCGTTTACACAAACTTCCTAGAGCAGAGCTGTCTGGACAAAACACTACCGTATTCTGCCAACAGAGAAAAAAAATCAGAGGCTCTGGCAGAGCCCAACGCCTGCGTGGCCATGCTCCAAGCACATATCCACCTACTGATGAGAAGGAGCATCAATATAATGAAGGGGTTCCCCCCCTCCCGCAAAAGAGAGGAAAACGCCTGCCAAAATAAGCTGGCCAAGTGGCCAGCAGAACAAAAAATCAGAGAAAGGCGTGTAGATTTTCCATACGAAAGTATGGAAAGAATCACTCTCCGCTCATTTATTGCTTATTTTTCATTAGCACAGGGACTCAAAAAACCCATCTGAAGTGATCACTAAGGGGGGGGGGGAAATATATATACATGGAGGACTAACAGGAAGACAGTTCTCTGAAGGAAGTAGGGACATACTTCAGATACACAAACCAGAACAGAGCTGCCGCACATCCAGCACATTCTCCCCACACACACAGCATCACCCACGTAAGCAAAGTCCTGCTCCCCGGGGAGCCACGGAGGCAGCTCTGGGATCCTAAACTTACCCTTCTTTGCTTCCATCAGCTAATAATCCGTCAGGGATTTCCACAAAGAGGCTCTGATTAGAGAGCACTGCATCCCAGGAGGAGGTCTTCACCTCTGTGACCTTGTACTGGAAGTGGACAATATGAGGCTTCCCTTCGTGCACTGGGACATCTTGGTTAACAGTGATCTTCTCGTCCTGCGCAGGGGAGGGAGGAGAGCTCATGAAATAGCCTTTAGGGTTAAAGAAAACTATCCATGAGATTGTAGACCAAAAATGTAAGAGATCATGCTTCAAGGAGCATGCAGAGGGACTGCGTTTTCAGTGAGAGCACCCTCCCGAAAAACCAGCCCTTACAGACGGGTGTGCCTCCAGAGTTTCACTAAAATTCACCACCGTGAGACTCACCATAGCTCGTGAAGGTACGCACAGCTGGCTGCGAGCTCACGTCTGAGCCTCAGTGCTCTAAACAAGCGTGTAAGTGGTTAGGAGCTATTGTTCTAGACTACCTGTAACACCTTGCTTTTATTCTAACCTAACACAAAAAGAAAGAACAAAAAACCACAAAAAGAAAGAACCAAAAAAAGTCCTACATACTAAACAGCCAGGGGAGTAAAACCAGAGAGAGCAAATGCAAAATAAATGGTACCATAGTTTTACTAAGACGAACATTATACTTTTCCCTTCCCCTTTCACTGGCTCAGGGACACACCACAATGAGTACTCAGACCTCATAGTGATTTTCTAGTAATGTTTTCCTGTTCAAGGAAACGCAGTTTTGCATATTTACATTATATTAAGTTTCTGAGTAGTGAAGAGTCAATTCATTCACCGCAGGTCCTGGCCACATCTTTGAAGGATGGTTCATAAACTACCCTTCAAAGATCACAACTGGAACCAACAAGCTGGAAGAGCATCTGCCGCCACAGTCTGACCGATTTCGTTGTCTCCCCAATCCTCCCCAACAGAGTCATCTTGTCAAGGGATGACCACAAATCACTTCCCCGGATTTTACAACCAACTGTTACAGCAAATGCTTTGCCTCCTGATACAAGGGAGCAGAGAGAATCCCAAAACAGACAGAAGCTATGCAGATCTGAAGATTGCGAGGAGGTCTTTTCCAGAGACCACAAACGTACACGTCCCTCTCCCATGCTGCTCTAACTAGAACGCCAAGCATGCAGACCGCCTCAGATTCAGCTCAGCAGTTCCTAGAAAACAATTCTGTGGTTTAAACTCCATCCCTTCTCCTGACAATTTTTGCTGGCAGTTGGTTTGCCCAGTAATGATTTCCACATTTCACTGCGAAGAGCCCCAGTGAATTGATGAAGAAATTCATTAGGTTCCCAAGTTAACGTTGTCAACCGCATCAGAAGCTAAACTGTTCCCATCTGCTTGGTTACAGGCTCATGCGCTCCGATTCCCTCGCATTTACAGAGTCACCTGCACAGCTTTGAAGGACAGAAGTAAACCGGACAATACAAGTCACATCTGCTCCGTTCCCGAGTCACCTGGCCTGGGAAAGCCAGGTGTCCCTCTCTTCTCAACAGCATCAACAGGTGGAGCAGGAGGTGGTTTATTCCATCAGGTCATTAGGTGAGTGACTGTCCTATCTCCAGGCATTTTATTTTAACAGGGTGATTAATTCAGCAGCTCGTTACAAGCTCTGATCTGCTGATAATCAGCAAGATCCAGTAAGAGGGTGGAAAACTGCTTGGTATCGCTGCTTTTCAAGCAGACGTTTTCTTGTAGGTGGTTTTAAGCTATGAAGGTATCAGCATTGTTGGAAGACCAGTGAGTAGTTCAGCAAATACATCTCCGAGAACCTTTCCGGGCTCCTCAAGCCAGTGTCCCAGTGCTTTAACTCCTATTACATGTATTAAAATAGATCCCACTTCGTTTGACTATAAAGAAGCCATCCAGTATGTTAATGCTGGCGACAAAGTAACGCCACATGCAAATTAGGAACTGCCTGGCTTCGTTAACCAGAGCAGAGGAAGCTGCTGTTTGTTTAAAGCCCACAAAGCTTAGCTGAAAAACAAGTTTACACTTCATCAGAATAAATATCCTGTAGGAAATAAGTTTATTCATTGAGTTCGAAAGAAGTTTTCACGGCTGTGCCTGCTGTTGGGTTTTACTAGTTTTAAGCCAAGTGCACCAAGAAACATAACGACAGCTGCTCAAGTTAAATCAGACTGCTGCCGAAAAAGCCACCGCAGAGCCAGCGGCAAGAGTCAGATCTGAGCCCAGAGAGCGCTCCGCACTACGGAGGTGGATTATAAAAAACCCAAAACCAAGGGGATTACGTGCACATCCTTCACCAGCAACTTTACAGGAGCCTTTCACAGTTGTTGTTACTGTGCAGAAAGCGTCTCTGTTTCAGAAGAGATCCTTCTCTCAAGAAAAGCTCACAGATGCTTCTTGTCTTACACTCCCCGAAAACAAAAACGGGGTGAGGAAGTTGAGAAAAGCAGGCCAGGATTGACACATTGGAGGGGGAGGCACATGCGTGCATTTGTGCAGAAAGACTGGCAGGAGCCTGCAATAGGAGGGGAAAAGCTTTCTGAGCCCTTCTGTCACCAGAAGTCATGCCCTGCACTCCAAACCTAGCACGGTTTTTCCACTTAAAAGCTCCCTAATACGACAGCCCATGAACCAAAGGCAGCACAACCGCAGGAATTAGTAGAACCGGTTCCCCCGGTTCAGTGGGAATTACGTTTACACAGCCTGTCTTGGGCAGCTGATATTTTATTTCTAGGCATCAAAATAGAGACAGCGAGATGCCGGGGAGAGAAGCTGTTCCTGTGAAGCAGCAGCCCAGAATTCTTTGGAAGCTGCTCAAAGCAAAATCCTGTTTACGCAACAAATGTTCGGTTTTAGTTCACCCCTGCAAAATCCCCCCACTATGCTATTGCAAGGAGGAAAAAAAACCCCAACCCACCGGGCTACCTTTTATACACAGCTGCCTAAACCACCAGCTCTCCAGCCCTGGGCTCCATTTCAGTGAAGTAAAGCCACAAGAACCAGCTTCCACTTGGTTATAATTCATTGAGCACAAGATTTTCCAATCCAGCTACGCTCCTCAGATGTCCTGAGAAGGACGAGGAGGGGGGGTGGGGGGCGGTGAGGGAAGGCCCCTACATGTTGGCAGCGTAAGAAGAAAGGATGTTATGATCTACCATAGCCAAGCGACCGAAGAAACCCGTGTAAGCAGCCTACTGTTGGCATGTGCTACACCTGCAGCCTCCTGCCAAGTTTGCTAGCCAGAGCACGTCTCTTTGCACAAAGCCCATCCTGGCTGCACAGCACCCACGCCGATCACTATTGCATTCCCAGCTCAAGTAAAGCTCCCCTGATGAAGGGCCGAGTATTAAGTCTCTTAACACAAAAATCCCAACAACTACAGGGAGCCCCAGCTGCTTAATTTACAGCGCGGTTGTATACGAGCACTGCGCTGCGTACACCGAAGGAGGCAGGCTGGTTCAGAAAGGTCATCCCTTGAACGAGAACAGCTGATACAGCTGGAAAAAGTACTTAAGCTTTTGGGGCCAGATGCCTTCCCAGGTCACGCTGAAGCTTGCTGGCTGAAAAGCTCAGCCTGCTGTAACTACAGGACCACGAACCTGAACGTGTGACCGAGAGGGGCAGACAGAGTCCCGGTAACCCCCATCGGCGGTTGGGCTTTAATCCACTGGCAACACAGCCCACTCTGCTCTGGGATGAGCTATGTGACAGAAGGGGCTGTTTTTCTGACAGATTCTGCTAGGTTTTGTCAGCAATAAATCCAGAAAGAATGATACCCATATTTCTGGGATGCAGCTATCCAGATGACATCCCCACAGGCAGCAACCCCTGCCTACACACCACTGCCAAAAGCTTCTGTGCGAATTCGAGGCCATACTGAAATCAAACGCTTCCAAGTCTCCAAACTGTGATTCTTTCCACCAGCATCTCTTCCACCTCGAGCCCGTTTTCTGCCTTTGGACTCTGCTGGTGTGTACGCAAGACTCGGCAAAGCTGGCCCGCAGGAGTTTAAGTTGCAGGGTCCCCTGTTTCTCATCCCTCTAACAGCTGTGACAATTCAACTCAATAGAGTTAAGCTGATGTTACATTATTAAGAGCCTACAGAGGTTGACATTTATTCACAAGGTAAGAGGGTGAGGCACACACTAAAAATTCACTGAGGCTGCGTTAAAGAAAACTCCTCCGAAAGCAGCCATGAGGTCTGTGATTCTCTCACAAATTTCAAGATGAGATTCCAGTGGCTGTGACGGAAAAGGGCCTGTATCTTTTCATCGTGTAAAAGTCTGTGTGCCTCCCACAGGGTAATTAAAAATCAAGTCTAACACCTATGACAGCACTCCTGTCTGAACAGCCAAAATTTGCAAGCTTCGCATAAAATTTAGGCTACCTCATCTGATAGCACTTTACTGCCTGCCCCTGTCCCAGAGGGGAGACAGATGTGTGCCACCAAAACACAACACAAAATCGCACAAGCGCCGATTATTCTACAGCAAGGAACAACCAGGTCTCCTCATTTGAAAGGAAAGGTCCTGTAGAATGAAGAGAGCCAAAAAGCGAGGGCTACACAGATCCGTGCGCTCCTAAACAAGCCTGCAGACACAAAGCCTTCCTGCGCTTGCCTCATCCTATTGCACGTGTTCTAGAAACGTTTCCGTCTGTAAGGTGGACGGCCACCTCACCCTTTTGTGAAGTCAGGAGTTACTCTGTACATCGGTTCAGGCAGCTCCCAGGCTCCGACAGCTTTACCTTCCGGACGAGGGCTCAGGAAGGAGCTTATCAATCATTCTCTCTCTGCATTTCACCTCTCTGCTTCCCGCTTCCTCTTTTTGCGAGACATTTAAGAAGCCATTTCATGTTTTGATAACGCTGGCTCCACACACAATGGCCGAAAGGGGCCTCTGGGAACAGGGCTAGTGAATTATTTGCTGCACACCTTTGAGAAAAGGTCTCTCGTTTCTTAGTGAACAGGTGATATTTAAGCAGGAGAGAGCTGCATGCAGCTCAGCGATCTGCCAACAGGGTCGCTGAAAAATTAACTGTTCTCCCGCTTATTACCCTGGAGTTACTTGCATTTATTCCCATCGGACTGTGAAAGGAACCGAACGCAGTTGCAATGCGGGTACAGGTCATTATTTAGATGTCAGATCTTTCTCACCTTATATATCAGAGCTGAAAGAGAAGGATCCCTGCTACCCCCTCGCCCACCGGGGATCTTCGACAGTGGGTGAGGGGCATCAGGAGCACCACAGAGGCCCTGGAACAATGTGCCTGCAGCACTGCAGCTGGGGACAGTTACTCAAAGGTAAAATACTACTGCAAGGGAAAAAAAAAAAAAGAGAGAGAGAGAGAGAACACCAGGTTACATTAGCAGGGATCCCATTTCAGATGCTACAGTTCCTCACAACCCCAAACCACTCGTATCCCTGCTCCTCCACAGCACGTCAGAGGCAGCTATCAGGGCTTTAGCGCCCGGACATCGACATTAAAACGCACTCGCTGCCCAAGTCGTGTCAGAAACCAGCGGTGTTTTGTTAGGAATGGAGGAGGGGCTTTGCAGCCAAGAACCCGGAGAGAGTGCTGAGCAACCTCATGCTAATAAGGGACGCCTGGAAGGCTGCCAATAGCAGATGGCTGGAAACGCATGACCAGATGAGCACACATTTTCTATAGACAAATATCTACAAATAGATCAACAGGACCCAGAAGGAAGAGGTTTAAGTTTCACATTTTCAAAACGAGGAGGAGTGAAAGGGCTGGTTCTTCAAATATTTTCAACATGCTCTACAACATCCGAGTTGACATTTTCACATGCAAATGAGACATCACACAAGCATCCTTCGCCCCAACCCTAAAAATTACAAGTTCACCCCAGAGATCTACTTTTAAGAGCAAGAAAATAAGTTCCCCTTGCAGTTTCAAAAAGTTTGTTTGGACATCCTAAGCATAGATCCTTTGAGATCACTTTGAATGCAGGCTTTAATATCTGCTCTAGCTTTTAGGAAGTTCACGAAAGCAAATTATTTTACTTCTGGGGCATTGCTTCCTTTATCAGTACCACAAAAGCTCTTTGCTGAGGCACGGCACAGCAGTGTTATTCCTCTAACAAAGCCTGCAAAAGCAACGCAGAGAAACCAGTTGCTCCCCAGCGTTCCCATTATGAAACAGGCCAGCGCAAAGCTATGTAAACACCACCAAAATAAAGGGGAGCATGAGGGTTTTCAGTAAGCATGCGGAGCGAGGAACAAGGCTGTAAGGGACAGACTCTAAGATGTATTGACAACTTACTGTCTGCCCTAAAACTTCTCACTTGAGCTGGTCCCAAGACCGTGTTTTTCCACTCTAATCCCTCTCCATGTGGGAGAGAGTTAAGCATCCAAAGACCAAGCACTGAGCTGAGCTATCAGAATCACCTGAACCACCTATACAGTGCGCTAGAACACATACCAGACTGCAAACAAACTGCTGAAATCCAGCTTTTCTGAATGCCAAAAAAAAAAACTCGCAAACGCAGTTAGGACACAGGCAGAATTTGCTAAGATCTTGGCTTGCCATCTCATACCAAAATAATCTTTCTACCGGAAAAACAAATATTCTTCCTCCACATATTTCCTCCTCCTGGTTTGCGAGACAGCGCTCTTCATCAGCGTTCCCATGCGCCATGGCCTACAGCAGACACTGCTCGGAGAAAAGGCTGTTTAAATACACCAGGAAAAGATATTAAGCAGTTGCACTGAAGACGTCTCAGGGCAAACCCCTTCGCACACATGCTCAGTGGTGTTTTGCATTCGTACGGTCCCTCCTCACAGCATGACTGGGGCTATCAATGGACCACTGTGTATTCAGTAGTAGTGGATGTCAAGAGGCATGACAAAGCACTTTGCTGTGCAGTTCCCCACCCCCAGAAAGCTGTTGGCAGCTTTGTTATTCCCTTCCCTCCTCCCTCACCCTCCAGTCAACAATGTACTATTGATAGCTCTCTCCAACTTGCAGCCAAGGCATCAAGAAGCTGGATAATGAAGTGTAGTTGTGGGGGGAAAAAAAAAGAAAAAAAAAGAAAAAAGAGAGAGGCAGTAGTTTTCATGCAAAGCAGTTCAAGACACTTCCCAGTTTTGCTTCCTCTGGCACATGCAGAAGTCAAAACACAAGCCCCCTTCAGCAGCTGAGCCTTGCCTGCGGCACTAGGGCTTCACCGGACCCACACACCACCACTATCCTCCCCCAAAACTTCGCGGCAGCAGCCAGCTAGGGTCCCAAGAGCAGCACCATCCGGCAACGCTGGGGAGCGAGCGTGTGGGGGACAGATTAAAAGAGGTTTTGCTTCCTCCAGATGTGCGTTAGCACCCTGGGAAGAAGTTCGTGCAAGCACCCGACAAAGTCTCAGCCCTTCATGCATTCACGCACGAGCGGTCTGCTGCAACTCTACTCCCCGAGGCCTGCTTACAGCCTAAAAATTGGGATTGTGCTCCCTTCTAGTCTCTCTTCTCTTTTAAGAGGCTGCCTTTCAGCAGCTTGGCGTAGAGTAAGATGCATTTAGATCACCAAGGGCCTTTCCCTGAAGAAACTCCCAAGCGAAAGCTTCTCGAGTGAGTCCTGCCTGAAACGGGAGCTGGAAGCGAGCATACGTTTTCAGCCAGCAGGTATAATTTTAACTCGCTAAGCTTCCAACCATCTCAACCCCGTGCCCCGTCCCTGGGAAGCGCAAAGGACGACTCCTCAACTTTTGAACCCCATCACGGCTGCTCTTCAACAACCCTTGCACCCGAAACCCCAGGCCAGTGCCGCTTCCAGTCCACGACAGCAGCCAGCACCTTGGGGCCTAGAGAGCTGCACATTTTCTTGTTTTTTTTCAGTGGTTTTATTTGCCTTGAACACTTGGGCCAGGTGGAAGGATCTACACAACTCCCTTGATGTTACAGAAATGAAGTTTTTTTCTGTTTTGTTTTCTTTTTTTTGGCCCTTTTCAAAACAGGCTCTGAAGATGCAGCTGCACTCAGCCCATAATAAGAAGATATTATGCTGCCAGCCATTGCAAGTCATATATTAAAGAACATGATTTAAGGAAAAACTTGTAAATAACCATCCGAGGAACACAGCATAAGCGGCCAAGAAACGAGGCTGGTTTATGCACATCCTCCAGGTGCCTATTTACATGGTACGATAGACGCTCAGGAAATGACACTTTGGGGACTCTCAACAAGGAATAGACACACAAGATAATCTGGTCAGCTGAGAAAAATACCTACAAATCGTGTAAGTTCATGGCTGCTGCTAACAGACCTGCCAGGAAAAAAAAAAAAAAAACCACCCCAAAAAACCCAAACAAACCAAACACTGAAAACAAAACCACAAAGCCACCTTTCCTTAGAGATGCGTGGGGACCGCAGGAAGGGAGGGCACAAACCCTCCTCGGCCTTAAAGACTCA